CCATGTCCGCGCTTTTTGCTGCATCAGCAGTTTGTGAGCGCATGTTGCAGCGCGCAATAACGCCAGCGCACGCCATGCGCAAGCCGTTGCTTTCAGCGCGCGAGCAGACGTGCCAGCGATCTTGAGGGCGCGAGGCGTTGCGACTTGTCCTCACGTGCGCGATGGCGCTTTCGATCGGCGGGCAGGCGCTGCAGCTGCCGTCTGTGTCGGGAGGCCGCGAGGCCGCGGAACAGCTGTTTACGCTTTTGTGCAACGCGTTCCGGTTGGACCCCAAGGTGGCCACCCACTTGGTGTCAGTCGCGGGCCTCGAGAGCATGGCTGATTTCACACACTTCTTCACGTCGGAGCAGGAAGTCGAAACCAAGGTAATCGAAAAGATCGAGGGCCTCTCTTTCCCAGGGATTCAAGCGTCGCGGCTGCGCCAGGCCTGGACCGCGGCGAGGCAGGCCGAAACGATCTCCGACACGCGGAAGAAGCGTGGCGTCGAGGATGATGACCTCGATGCGCTCCTGCCAAACAGTGACCTGAAAGACATCCGCGCCAAGTTTTACGCGAGGTATCGCCTGGGGTTCGGGGTCAAGACTGAGCCGTGCGATCACTTGGTGAGCAGAATCTCAAAGGAGCTGTCGCGGCGATTGCTGCAGGCACGCGTTGGCGTTGTGCGCGCTGCGCGCGTCTCCGCGCGGTCGTTCGCGCGCGCGTCCGCAGGTGCATTCGGTTTTCCGCGTGAAGACGGTGACGCATCAGCTGACCATGACGAGGAAGCGGCAGCGCATTGCGGAGGGGCTAGTCCTCGTCACAGGGGAGCAAGCGAACGAATTCGACACGGAACCGCGCAGAGACGTGGCAACGTATGTCAATTTGCATCACACACTGATGCTGGCGCACGCGCGTGCAGGCGCAACAGCGCGCTGTGCATCGCGACGCTGGCGTTTCCAGCGCGCGCGGCGCGTGCAGGCGTCGTCCAGTTGGATCCGCAGCCAGCGGAACCAGAGGCAATGGATCGCGACAGCACGGATTACGTCGAGGCGCGAACGCGGTGCATCGCGCGCGGCAACCGGCGGTCCGTCGCGCGTCAGGTGCCGCTGGATGTCGTGCTCGCCTACCACAGGAGGCTCGCACAGTGCGCCACCATCCTTCCCCCGAGTCAGGCCCTCCAGTGGCTGCAACAGCGGGATGAGGAGGAGCGACAGCAGTGGGTTGACAGGCGCGCCGCGATCCGCGAGCTGCGAGGGGCTAGTGTCGCGAACGTTCCACCGGCGTGCAGGCATCGCCGCACGTCCATGTCGCTGGGAAAGATAATCAAGGATGTCTTCGAGAGGAGGGAGCACATGTGGGAGATCCCCGCACGCGGCTTCGCACCAGCCCCCGACGCGCGGCCTGCCGCGGACTTCGCGCGCGGAGCCCCGCGGGGCGCCCCGCCGCCACCTGCGGCGCAGCAGGGAGGCGGGGGTGCAGGGCGCGGGCAGCGCAACCCCAAGGGCGCGCAGAAGGGATCGAGCACCGGTTTGGCGACCCACCTCAAGAACGGAAAGGAGCTGTGCAAGAATTTCAATCGGGGGTCGTGCCCGGAGCCCTGCCCGAAGAATCTGGAGCACGCATGCTCCGTGATCGTGAGCAAGAGCGGCCGCGTCTGCGGCATGAGGAATCACTGCGCCGCCGTGTGCCGCAAGGCGCCGATCCCGGAGCAGGGCGCGTTGTCGCAGTATTGAAGGGGCCCCGCCAGGGCGGAGGACAGCGCCGAGGCAGGGGGGCACGTTGCCTGTCCAGCGGAGCACGGCTTCTTTGCGCCCGCGCAGGCGGGCGCACCCAGCGCCCAGCCATAGCGCCCAGCCCAGGATTCCGCCGCTCAAACGCGCGGTTCTTCGCCCTTTCCCTCTCCTCTTTTCTTTCTCACCTTCTATCCTTCTCTCCTCCCATCCTCTTCTCTCTCTTCCACCCCTCGCTTCCTCTTATCTCTTCTCTTCTTTCTCCTTCTTTTTCTCCCTCCGCTTCCGCCACGTCCTCGATCAAATCACGCGCATGTCAATTATCATCTGCCCCCCTGACCTTCCGATGTGTCGGCAAAAAAACCGGCACGCAGGCGCGAAGCTAGCATCCTCAAGCGGCGCGGGGGAGCGCCGAGGCGAACAGAACACGCGGCGTCTCGTTTTCGCAGGCGCCGGGCCGCGGCCCGCGGACGGCGGGGACCGGGGCCGCGGGTATCGCGAGGGCACATCCCCGGATGTGTCGCAAAACGACCAATTGCGGCAGTGCGTCGTCAGCATGTTCCCCAGGGAATGGCTGAGCAGTTTTGTTTTTCCGTCCTTGGAAGATCTAGTCAATCAGTCGCCGTTCGTGGATTTCGCAAAGTGGCTAGACGAGCGCAGCATCGCTGGACCAGTTGGCAGCACGGCAGGCCAGGGCACGTCTGCCATGCTGGAAGCCGCGGCGGGGCGACAGGCCGGGGCGCTCTCGGCCAAGCACGCGTTGCCGCCTCTCCTGGGCCACAGCCGGGAAGAGGAAGAGCATTTCCGCGCCGCGGTTGATTTCGCGAAGCGGGGGAAGTTACCGTTCGATGAGGACGTTGCTGCTCCGCATGACTTGAAATTTGCGGCGGTGTCCACCGCCGCAGAGCTGCGCGACTTGAGGGAGTTTCGGTTGCGCAGCATGCACGCGCTGCAAGAGCTTAGTCGCCGGTGCAAGCCCCTCACGGCGGAGCTCTTGAAGTGGCAGAGTCCGACTGTGCGCGCCGTGGCGGGGCATATTCACGCCGGACTCATTGCCGTGCTGGTGGTGCTCGCGCGGTGGCCAGACCAAAAGCTGGCGTTGCGCTTTGTCACCGGCTTTGGCATTACTGGCGTAATGGAGAATACGGGTACTTTTGAACCATCCGAGTATGAAGCTCCCATGCCCGTGCACTCGCTGCTTGGAGAGTCCAAAGTCTTGCTGGCGGAACTGGATCGCCAGCGCGCGAGTGAGGAGGGCCAATTTCTCCGGGATAGCTGCGAGGAAGAGTGCAAGAGAGGCTGGGCGGCACCGCTGCGAAGCAAGTCGGACATTGATGCGGAGTTCGGCGCGGGGCAGTGGGCGCCGACTCCTGCGTTTTGCCATATTCAGCCTTCTGGGAAAAGGAGGAGAATCGACGACGGGCGTCGGGGTAGGCAGAACGAAGCGACGGCATTTTGTGAGCGGCAAAGAATGTGTACGCCATTCCAGCCTGTCATCGATGCGAGGGAGGTCCGGCAAGCGTGTGCGGACGCTGGTGCCGACGTGGCCCGCGAGAGGCTCGTGTCGGGGGGCGAAGATTTGCCGTCGGCCTATCGCTCAGTCCCAGTGCACCCAGATCACTTGCGCTTGAACGTCGTGGCGGTCCGCGATCCTGTCACGGGAGAATGGAGGTTCCAGGTGGCGTGTGCGTTGCTTTTCGGTTTCTCCGCGTCAGTCATGCAGTTCGCGCGATGGGGAGGATTCCTGCAGGCAGTGCAGCGCCGCGTGTTGTCGCTTTTGCTTGCCATGTATGTGGACGACGCGAATATTACTGATTTTGAATCAGCTGGGGCGCTGGTCAGGAGGCCGCACAGTGCCTTTGCGCGGAGTTGGGCACGCCTGTGGCTCCCTCGAAGACGAGGAGGATGAGCCCGTCCGGCGATTTTCTGGGCGTCGTGCACACCATCGGCCCTTCGCTGGACTCGAATGTCATATCTTTCAGGGCGCGCGACACTCTCGTCGAAAAGGCGAAGACGTTCATTGCGGCGAGGCGCAGCGAGGGCAGGCTCACGCCCGGAGACGCCAGCAAGTTGAGAGGCCTCCTCAACTTCATCGCCAGAGCGGCGTGGCACGGCGCGGGCAAAGCAGGCATGGGGGCTCTGAGGCAACGGCAGTACACAGATCAGCCGCCTTGGACCCTGAGCAACTGCCTGGTGCGCGCACTCGATTTCTTTTATATAATTCTGCAAGACATGCCGAGCCGCGTGGCCGAGATCGCGCCGAGAAGCGAGCCTTTGATTCTCATTGCTTCTGACGCGCGCGCTGACAATGACGCGTGGCCGACAGGGGGGTACGTGATGTTAGATTGCGCCGACGGCTATCGGCAAGCTGGCTTCTGCGTTTTTGACGGGGCTCTGCTGGGCATGTGGGGCTACTGTGAGGAGCGCTTGAGGCAGGGCGGCCAGCCCATCGCGCTGTGTGAGGGCGCGATGCCGCCCATCATATACCAGCGCCACGCTAAG